GGCTCACTTTGATCGTGGCAGTGCGCCATCTTACATCGAGCTAACCGCCCTGTGAGGTATGGACGGCGTGAGATCACCGAGCACGCGGAAGCCGATTGCCTTCGAGCTCCTAAGGATTCCGGAGGGAAAGGGTGATTGTAACCATGAGGGCGGAACGTTACGAATAAGCAGCAGGCGCAAAGGAATGAACCACTGACGCACTCAAGTTTCATGTTCTTAGGAACGGCGTTGGGATAAGTTTTTTTTTTTAGCCCTCCGTTTGGCTCAGTAGTACCATGCTTATGGCGTTCGGCTGCTGAACCCAATGTCGCGGGCTCGATTTCAGCCCTGGTAGTCGCATTTGAATGGAGGTGAAATGCGACATGTCAGTGTATACTGTGCAATGCTAGTGAACATTACAAAGCAGGTGGGGCCGTATTCAGCAAAAAAAAAAAGGTCTTACGCTAAACATCTTTGTATAAAAATATTTTAGCCAATGGTGACGTGGGACATACTGCAACGCATCGAAAGGAGACAAACGCAGGGAGTTCATTGTGGGCAAACTTGTGCCAGGAAAACTAGAAGAAAAATGAAGAAGACGGCCCAAGCGTTCCTCATAAAAATGATCGTAAGACCAACGCTCGATTTCAATTTTTTGAAGTTTCGAAGCTGAACCACCTCTCGTTTTAATATTTGGAATGTCTGCTGGATGGCGGTACTTGTATGTGATGAATGTAGGATGAAAATTGGCGAGATGGCGGTACTAGGAGTGTTCACTAGATGGACAGGCGGACAGGCATACAGACAGGCGGACAGGCATACAGATAGATGGACAGGCGGACAGGCATACAGACAGGCGGACAGGCACACAGATAGATGGACAGGCATACAGATAGATGGACATGCAGACCGACGGACGGACAGAGAGACGGGCGGACATACATGCATGCATGCATGCATGCATAATACATACATGCATACATGCATACATACATGCATACATGCATACATACATGCATACATACATACATACATACATACATACATACATACATACATACATACTACATACATACATACATACATACATACATACATACATACATACATACATACATACATACATACATACATACATACATACATACATACATACATACATACATACATACATACATACATACATAACATACATACATACATACATACTACATACATACATACATACATACATACATACATACATACATACATATAGACGGGCGCGGCCAGCGGATGATTCACAGTTTGCCGATGAAGCCCTTTGAAGCTTCGCTCCACTCATCATCATTCACTCCGTGGATATGCTGTGATCTTTTTGTGGGCGAGCGCGAAGTAGACAGTGCACTCCCACAAAAAAACAATGACAGTGGACTGTGAAGAACATCAAGATCATGAAAGTTAACATAACGGAGAGTTTGAATTCTGTAAATGGTAAAGTGTCGAAAGATGTTGGTAGGTACATGAAATGGTCGATTCTCTCGGGTTAACTTAAGTGGAATTCGAAAATTTACAGAACTGTGACGTGAAGGGCAGGGTATGATACCATGAACAAATTTGTTAAAAAATAACATTACACCACGATTTTGTGTCGGTGGTGAAGTAATGGCAATTATAATCATGTGTTAGTGTAGGAACTAGTTTCAGAGGCATTTCTAACTGTAACGATGGTAGTAAATGCTTATAAATTTATGAGCTTATGAAATGAACTTATAAAACGAACCTATGATATACTTATGAAGAATAAATTGAGGATGGCGCAGTGAGTGATGCAAAGGAAACTTGATAAGTGTAACCTTAAAAACAAGAAGAGAGCAGAGTGCGTTAGGAAACAAACCTGAGTTAAAGATATCGTAGTTGAAATCAAGAAGGAAAAACGGACATGGGCCGGGCACGTAGCGCGTAGGCAGGATAACCGTTGGTCATTAAGGGTAACAGACTAAATTTCCAGAGAAGGCAAATTCACAAAAGGGAGACAGAAAGATAGGTGGACCGATGAGAATAAAAAGTTGACCGGTGTAACATGGTACCAGAAAGCACAAAACCGGGCTGATTGGCGGATCATGGCAGAGGTCTTGGCCCTGGCGTGGGCGTAGTCAAAATGATAATGATGATGATGATGATGATTATGATGATGATGATGGTACAAGTACACAGACCCAATTTGTAAACGATTGCCAACATAGCTTGAGATTAAGAAGAAAATAACAGATTACTTCGTTTTTAAGTACATGTCGAGGCACACAAAATACGGCTGCAAATAGTAAGGTCCTGAGGGCATATAAAAGGTCGGCGAGTTCACTCATGGGTCTACTTACTAGGGCTCACTCAGACCGAGATAGAGCTGCTAGTTCTGTCTGAGTGAGTTTGTGGGAGTAACGTTTTGATGACTTTAACGGCGAGTGGGCCCGGCGGGAAAACACTTTTGTGAGTGTGAGTCCGAGTGTTTTCGCCTCATGAAAATTTTTGCAAGTCTGAGTGAGCTACACTTTTTCTTGCCGACCTATACTCCTATCTACTTATCTTCCTCATTACTATCAGCCCTACCTAATTTACCGTTTATACTCATGTCTACTGACACGTATTCTGAAACAGTGTCGTTCATTAACCACTTCAATATTTACTGACCAGAGGTGCGAATTAAATAAGAGGGTGGCTTAACCTTACCCTGCCAACTCTTCCATCAAATTTATAGATAAAGAAATCTTACGTTGTCATCTGTTTAAAGAAAAATTACCTTACTGGTTTGAGAGTACTCACGTTCGAGAGTACTGCATTGAAAGGCTCCAAGAAAAGCACCGATTACGTGAGATTTAGGTGCTAAAGAGCACTGCCACTATTGTCGAAAAAGCTAATTATAGGCTAACGGGCTCATGAGTCGACTCTCTCGGACTAACTTAGATTCAGATCGAGCCGTGAGTGTGAGTATGAGGGAGTCCGGGCGAGTAACATTCTGGTGAGTTTGAATTCGAGTCCGGTCGAAGAAAATTTTCGCGAGTGTGAGTATGGGTGAGTCCGGCTCGGGAAAACGTTCCATGGTGAGTATGGGCATGACTCAATTCTGACCACAAAATATACTTCCTTAATGAGTTTTGGAGGTTTGAAAGTTTTGAAGGCCTATGCCTCAGGTGTGCAGGGTGTGTTGAAACAAACAAAGGAACGAACAAACAGAAAACACCCACACGAGCACCGTTCGATTTGATATAATCATTCGTTCACGGAATCTTAATGGCAGCTTAAATCAGTTTTTACTGCATGTCTGTTCTGGTGGTGTCTGAAGAATTCGCCTGGGCACCTTTTTGTTATCTTTCATGAAAAATAATTCTACAATTTTGGACTGAAAAAAAAACACAGAAATAAATGTTTAAGCTGTGTATCGTCCTTGCTTTCATGACCTTTAATATGTGAGTTAACGTTGCCCATGTGAATCACTTGAATTGTGTCTGAGTGCCAGCAATGCGTGGAAGTCTACCCGAATTCAGCCTCGTGTAGTCAAGATTGGAACAGCGCCACAAACCGTGGATCCTTACGATAACTATCTAGTCTGAGAGTACCCACCTTATCGTCTCCATCCCTGGTGGCAGCTGTGCACAGTCCGCCTTAGTAGCGTGTTGGCGGTCGTCCACATGCTCTGCCAAAAAACAGGAAATTTACATAAGGGACCTCGAAAGCGCTTTGACCTGTAGAAACGATAATCTATGGCTGCTGCTACTTGATTTTAATCAACAGAGCAGCCGGAGTTTGTGCGTCTGCCAAGTAACTCTCTTCCTTAACCAAGCCAGGGCCTTAGTTTTTTAGTGCAGTGATGCAACATCTGCTCATCCTACCAAGTGTGAAAACAAGAATTAAAATAAAAGCATAATACCAAAAGTGTGGCGTCACTTGTGTTAGTATTTAGAATGTCACAACTAACCTAATCCGGCATTATCCTGCATAAACCGAAACCTCGAAACTCCGCCTAAAAAATGAAATGTCTAAAGCCCAAATAGGGCACCTCATGAAGGTACAACGTTACTTTAACATTGCAATTTTACGACAGGATCTTCTTAAATGTTTGACAATATTGCCCGGTTGTGAATATGACTTGCTAAGGAGTCGCTAAACAATAAGCCCAAATTGTAGTTTTTCGCATGCAGCAGTCATACGCACCCTTCTGGGAGTGTAGCTTTCAGTCAAAACTGTTTCGTACTACCAAAGTCTATTGTCACGCGGTAGGTGGTGACAAGGATAAGGTTGACCCGCCGCGGCGGTCTAGTGGCTAAGGTACTAGGCTGCTGACCCGCAGGTCACGGGATCGAATTCGGGCTGTGGTGGCTGCATTTTCAATAGACCCGGCTGCGGCGGCGGCATTTCCGATAAAGGCGGAAATGTTGTAGGTCCGTGAGCTCAGATTTGGGTGCACGTTAAAGAACCCCAGGTGGTCTAAATTTCCGGAGCCCTCCACTATGACGTCTCTCATAATCATATGGCGATTTTGGGATGTTAAACCCCACATATCAATCAATCGATTTTCAATTGAGGCGAAAACGCTGTAGGCCCGTGTGCTAAGATTTTGGTGCACGCTAAAGAACCCCAGGGGGTTGAAATTTCCGGAGCTCTTCACTACGATGTCTCTCTTATTCATATGGTTAGTTTAGGACGTTACATGCGACATATCAATCAAATCAAGGATTAGGTTAACATTATAGAGAGCTAACTTTGCATTTAGCCATTCTAAATGAGGATTTGATGCTTACGATTCTAACGTAATGTCTTCCTCTGATAGGTGTCTCGTGGTCGCTACACGCCTGCGAAGCATTGGGTGCGTAGCGCTGTGCATACGTTGGCCAGGCACCCAAGGTCGATGATGTAAGATTAGAACCGGCGTATTTTCTCGACCTCTAGATCACTAACTCACTTGCATTTGCCATCGCGATTCACAATCATGACGTCACGGAAGGTCACAACGGGCCGCTGAACCAGTTTAGAAGCATTGCATAGGTTCGATGTTAAGACAATCAAATTTTCAGTCTCTCCTCTGTTCAGCGGTTCAGTCGCAGCAGCTAAGCAGAGAAGTTTCGTTTCCTGCGGTGTGCTTGTGCCGCCGCACGTTGGGCATGCGAGTATACTAGTCAGAAATCGCGTAGAAGGGCAGATTTCGGAGTACGGGTTGTGCGTACGTAGGTTATAGCGCGCTTGGTGCGTTACGCTTGCTCGCAGTATATAGGCAGACAGAAAAGAAAAGAGTGGCATCAGCAATTATGCCGATCTCCTGTCGAATGTTATTGATTCTCGCTGCACATATTTTTCAGTTATGTTCTTGCGCCGATGCTAGTGAACGTCCCGTGGTTAAAACTGATGACGGAGTCGTCCAAGGCATCCGAATGGATGCGGCTGGTGAAAAAGTGGACGCTTTTCTCGGTGTGCCCTACGCCACGCCTCCAGTGGATGAGCTGCGCTTCGAGAAGCCGCTGCCAGCCAAGCCATGGAAAGGCATATACAACGCCAGCAGGAAGCCGACGCCATGCATGCAGAGCGACTTTCCGATCTACGAGGACATCGTACTAGACTACACCCATTCCAGCGAGGATTGCCTCTACTACAATGTGTGGCGACCGACTCGCAGCTGCCCCAACGACTCGGATACGTGCGACGCCAAGCTTCCCGTTATGGTCTTCATTCACGGCGGCGGATTTCAATTTGGGGACTCCTCTCTCTTCCTGTACGACCTTGGCCACTTAGCGGTGAGAACCAACATCGTGACCGTTAGTTTCAACTACAGGCTCAACATCTTCGGCTTCCTGACGACGGAAACGGCCGATATGCCCGGAAACATGGGTATGTGGGATCAAGTGCTTTTTCTCAAATGGGTCAACAAAAATATCGCTTACTTCGGCGGCGACCCCAGTGAAGTCACGGTGGCGGGTCACAGTGCGGGGGGTGTCTCCGCCGGACTACTGGCTGCATCGCCCGTCACCAAAGGGCTGTTCAAGCGAATTATCATGCAGAGTGGAACGCCTCTTACACTGCTTGCTGGATCAACTTACTATAGCCCTGACAAGTTCTATGACGTATCACGCTTTCTCGGGTGCCATAATGGCGCGGTTCCGAAGAAGGATCTGGACTATCCTAAGACAATAAAGTGTCTTAAAAAGCTGGACGCCCGCAGAATAATCCGCTCGCTGCTACGCTTGAATTTGGGGCAGCGTGTGTTCTCGCCACAAGAGGGCGACGATTTCTTCCCGTATGACCCCCTGGCGATGGACACGTGGAAGAACATGCACGTCAAGGAAGTTTTCGCTGGCAGTAACCTGAACGAAGGAACGGGCTTCCTAAGCTACATTCTCAAACATCATCACGACCTCAAGGACAACTTGAAAGTGGATTATCGCGCGACCATCACGGCCATGCTGTCCCTCTTTGCGGACGTGCCTCTGGTTACGGGCAAGAAGATGGTAAAAGCTTACTTTGGTGGTTACGAAGTAAAACATGAAGGCCAAAAGGTCGTAGAACTTCTTGCCGAAATGATGGGCGACATCGTTTTCAAGTGCCCGACACACCTCTACTCTGAACTCACGGCGCTCCAAGGAGTGCCATCGTACAGGTACTGTTCATGTTTCTTTAAGTGGGTAATACGATGTTCATAAGAGTAGCTGAGGATGCACATGCTAAGAAGGCTGCATGATGCTCAATGTATGTTTCCCCCTTTTCCCCCTCCCCACGAGGTGCACTTAAAGTACCAAAACGCTCACTTAAGCGAGTTTATCAGCGACTATATTTGTGTCTATAGATATGGAGCATTCCGAAAACTTCTTATTAAGTCACACATGTTCCTAATAATTCACCTGTTGTGTATAATACAAAAAAACGAGCCTAATAGATAGTTTTGATTCCTGACATTGGCACGCGGAAGGGGGCCTGTTCTTCGATAAATTTTTTTTTGTTGTTCAATGAAGAATTGTACTCCTAATGACTGGAACAAAAATTGAATGCGTCTGAATTTTATGTGATTTGCCCGCACTGTCAGACTCTACGGGGTAAAAAAAAAAGAAACACAGCATACAAATAAATGCACTTCACGACACTTCCCTGCAACTTCACGGGAGTCCCAGGACGTAAGTTTACCCTCGGTCACTAAGTGAGGTAACATTCCCCGTTCGTTCACTGGGATCCAGGCTGCGCATAAATTCAAAAAAAAATTTTAGCAGTTTACTGAACAGCGTGAGTGCACGTGGATGAGAGTAAGCGTATTTGCCTACACAAAAACAAATCTGCAGCAAAATCAGTTGACGTGATAGGGGAGAAATCAGGCTACTGATTTCTCCACGGTGTTAGAAGATTGAGGGCCCTCGAAAGACTCAATTTCTTGATAGCCCCAGTAATACTAAATCATAAATAAGAATGCCGATTGATTGTTTTAAACAATTTAACGTCCCAAAATAAGTGAGAATATCATATGATTTGTTGTGGAAGGCTCCGAATAATTTCGATCCCCCGCTTTACGTTAATGTGCAATCGCAACGCACAGTATGCAAATCTCTATCCTTTCACGTTCATAAAAATGATACCACCGCCAATGGAATCGAATCATCGTCTCATGACCCTGCAGCCGAGCACTTTGCGGAAACGAAGTTGATTTGTGATTATGCCTCCTTGACAGAAAGAGCACCACGCCCAAGGCAGTTTCTAGTTAGGCCAAGTCACCACCTATGCACGTTCTAAGCAATACAGCTCACGCGTTTTTCGAAAAATGCGCGAGTAGATCCATCCTGGCGAAAAAAAAAAAAGAAAACGTGTTTATGCCTTGTGCATTGCTTTGTAACATGCTTCTGACTATTAAGATGCCATATTAACAAGAACAAGCCTGAAACTTCATACTTATTTTGGGTAATCAATACTTTTTCCCAGTTTGAATATCAAGTGGTATAATGTTGTCTTATAATGTTACATTGAAGCTATATATAAAGCTCGTGTTCAGCGTATTTCTTCTGAGCATCTACGAAAAAACGCCAGAGTTTCTCTGCCAGGGCGAAACAATGAATGCGATAGAAATAAATTACAATGTCACACAAAGCAGGTGAAGTAGCTTCATACTTGCAGCGCGCTGCTGAAACACAAAGAAGGGCGCCCGAAAAAAAAAAAAAAAAGGCGCGCAGGTACACACAGGACAAGCGTGAACTAACAACTGTCGCAGTTGTTATCCCTTTCTGTTTAAGCAACGCGCTGCAAGTGTCGACAGAGCAGAATCAGACACCCTTAGATGTTTTTTTATTATAAATTGTGGCACACGGAGTGACCCGTCTGTGTCTTTTTCCGCGTGGTCACGTCTTACGCAAGGTGCTTCCGGTAATTCGTTTTTTCGTTCAACATCACGAGTGGGTATACAGAAAGGGCTCACTTTTTCGTGCCCGGCTCAAGGGCAGCTTTCAAATGTAAGGAGCGTTGCGTGATAGAAAATGTAAGGAGCGTTGCGTGATAGAGCGTTGCGGGTTAGGAGCGTTGCGTGATAGAAAACAGGCTCGAGCTCCTTTGAGATATACGTACCATTAGAGGTAAGCTGTCCATATAAATAGCGCCCTGTTATTACGCTGGTCCATGCATGACGCGTGGTTGAGTTTTTCTAACGCAGCACGCTGCGGAACGAAGGGGGTGTCACTAATTCGAATTCCCGGTCTGGGGCTCGGAATATTTTCTTCTGATATATATGTATAAATTATGCGAACGCTGCCTCTCATCACCAGTCCACTAAGTGTGAATAAAGGGATGCACAGGCGGCTAACACTACTTCAGATTGCGCAAGAAATACCAATCACTTGCGGCAAGGCAGCAAACATGACGTGCGTCGCCAAACAGAAAATCCGCAATGACCCAAGTACCCTGCTGCTAGAGCGGAGATAGCAAAGCAGCATGGGTTTAATTCACGAGAGATATTTTGGGTACACTTTTAGGATTAGTGTGCTGAGTGTGTTATGCTATGAATATGAATTCTGAGTCGCCTATAAGTAGTGTACTAAACGGCCTTCACATTCATCTTTACAGATAGGAATGGCTCGAGTTCCATTTTTCATTTGGATCTCGTGCCAACTTATGCACAGAAACCTGAGCCGGTATTCAGTATTTCACCCTGACCTATTCTGACAAGCGAAGCGTAGGTTCTGGTGATAAGCTTCATTTCAATCATACCAGGGTCATGATGATATCGCTCTCACCGTTTGGCACTACTCAGAAGTAGATCGAATTTTTTTATCTGTGTCCTTGTGCATTGTCAAAGTGAACTGCGTTGCTCATAAAATCCGCTATCATAAACCATTGGTGGTCTGGTTCTGGATACAGATTCTGGAGTTAGAAAGTTCGATTTTTTTTTGTAATTCAAGTTGTTGCGATATGTCTTTTTGTTACTTGATCTTTCCAATGAAAAAAAAAAAAGGTTACGTTGCTTCTCATAAGCATGTTTCTCCATGCTTATATTGCTTGACGCTTATTTACGTTGTTGATAAGGCTGTTGTCGCATCGATGTACAATTTGTTCTTGTTTTTTATTATGTGCACCACAGTCGGCTGTAAACTCCTTAAAATGAAAGTTTGGGGGCCATACCTAGTCACGTTGCCTATATCAGCCTCCCCGATCTTGACGAAAAATAAACAAAATACTGCTAATGCTCCTATTACTACAAATAATAATAATAATAATAATAATAATAATAATAATAATAATAATAATAATAATAATAATAATAATAATAATAATAATAATAATAATAATAATAATAATAATAATAATAATAATAATAATATCATAATATTCATGCCCCGACATCTCTTTTGTTCGTCCTGACAAGTTCCCTTCACCACTTAATGGAAATTTATCGGTATATGCCTAATTTACAAGCTACAGATCATTTTAACCAATCTCCTAGATTTACTTTCAAGAGAGGTGACTACTCGGGCTTTTGACGGGATAGCGTTAAAAAGCTCGTTTTGCAGAAATTTCGGTGTCGGCATCAGCGTCGTTGGTTGTGAGCGAAAAATCATCCCCTTTGCTTGACCAAAAAAGATCGAGGAAGACACAAACTAAATGAGCAATAAAAATCCTGGGTATGCGTGGGAATAGCACCAGGTCGTGTGCGTGCAAGCACTTGTTCTATACCATACGACCATGCGTCTGCTTGTGAATACAGTGAAAAGAACTTCCTCTGCTTTGAAATGCAGTTAAAGCAACTTTCAGGCTTTAAAGCAAACGAGTCCTGCACGCGTGCTTCACAATATAAGATGAAATATTGCCGTCATAAAGCGTGGTAAAAGCGTACATTGTTATTAGGCGTCAGAACATCATAATATTTTTATGGTATAGAATAGTCGTTCACATAAAAGGCACACACACAATTGAAAAATTGAATTGCTGCACAAACTTGAAGAAAAAAACAAGGGAGACAGGAAAGAGCGCAGTCCCTTGTTTTTTTCTTCAAGTTTGTGCAGCAATTCAATTTTTCAAGTATGAACCAACTAGTCTGCAAAAAAGTATTGCTTCACACACACACAACTTCACCTTTAAGGCCACGCAGTGGGTGCATAGCAAGTTCGAAATGAATTCATACACCAACTGTTTGAAGTGCGCACTAGGAACAAAATATCGCTGTCGCGTTCAACTTTTAAAAGCGAAGCTTAAGGGCTCGCCAATTTTATCATTACTTCTAAGTTGTTGATTGGACACAGGTTACTGACAAACAAAATGTTGATAACCACATTCGGCAGTGTGTGGAGCTTGTGTTAAACAGCATACGTAAGTCTATTCCAAATTATAAGCTGAACATTGCAAATAGCCCCACTGGTTCTCATCTGAACTTATTAGTGCACTGAAGCGTAAAGATCACGCGCACAAAAAGGCTAGATGTTATGCATTGAGCCAGTTTAAGGAAGAGTTAAGCTCTTACAGAACTGTCGCTAAACGTTTACATAAACGGGACCACGGTTCATATATTGCATTATTAAAAAAATCCTTATGGCAGGACAGCTGAGCTTTGGAAGTAGTCCTTCAGGCTACTGGATTCAGATGGTGTCGAAGTGCATGCCACTGCTCACTGTTTTGCCATGCATTTTTCAGCCGTTTATAAGACTTAAGATTCTATTGGTCTCAAATAGCACATCAGCACAAGATCGAGCTTCACGCCAGAAAGCAACGAAGGCGCTGATGAAGTTTCTGCGAGCGACCCGCCTCGTAGAACGATTGTGACACTACTGTGTGCGAGTGTGTGTATGTGTGTTTGTGCTTCTCTTCCTCCCTTTCCCCTTACCCTTTCCCCAGTGCAGGGTAGCAAACCGGATATGTTTTCTGGTTAACCTCCCTGCCTTTCCGCATTAAATTTTCTCTCTCTCTTTCTCTCTTTCTCAGCACAAGGCAGTTAGCACATCTAGTCGTCTGTCGCTGCATGAAAAGCTCATCTGTTTATGCATTAGGTGCCTGAAATTGTCCTTATCGTGTGGCCCAGATGGCATCTCTTCCACAATACTAATGGCTTATCATAATATACTTGCCCCAGAAGTGACTGCAATATTTAGCAACTGTCTGAACACTTCCACGTTTCCCAGCTTGGGGAAAACTGCACGTGTTTTTGTTTTGGTATTTAAGTCCGACTGCAAATCTTGTGTTTCTATTTATCGCACGATTTCTTTATACTGCGTGCCACATCGAAGTTGTTTGAGCCGGCTCTTAACAACATATTATATGTGAGTGTTAAAACTCGTTGATTTCTAATTAACACAGGTTTTTTTTTTCATGGCTGCTCAACTACCAAAAATTGTGCTAGTGTCATGACGCAAATCTCCCCACCTATTTCTCAGAGAGGACAGATTGACGTAGTGTACTGAGGTCTGAGCAAGTCTTTGACTTAGCCACCCCCTCACTCGCTTTGGTGAAACTTGCAAACTTTGATTTTGGCTCGTCTGTTGTAAATCTCCTGCAACGCTATCTTTTCAATAGATCTTGTTATGTTTCCGTAAATGGCCAAGCGCCTTCCTTGTGAAAAGTGACTAGTAGAGTCCCTCAAGTGTCAGTATTAGGCCCACTCTTAATTTTAATTTGCGCTAACAACGTTTCTTCTGCAACTTGTTATCTTTCTTTTTTCTGGTATGCAGATGACATCAAGATTTTTAAAGAAATTCATACATTTAGCGACTGTCGCTTGCTGCAGTCAGATTTGTGTTCCTTTTCCGAACGGTGTGACAACAGTAACCTCTCTCTGAATACTTCAAAGGCCAAATTGATGAGTATATCTCGCAAAACATACATCGTGTCATTTTCGTACTCTGTCAATACCTTGTTGTTACGTACGATCAATGAATTCAGTGATCTTGGTGTTCCTTTGGATAGCAAGCTAAGTTTTTATGCTCGCACTGAATGTGCTGCCATGCATGGCCTACGTTCTTTCGGCTGTATTTGCAGAGTCTCTTGAGAATTAAGTTCTCCTACAACCTTCCACAAATTGTACACTGCAGTATGTCTTGAATATGCATCTGTAATTGATTTGAAATTACATTGCTAAATTTGGCAGTGGCGTAATTGAGCGAGTCCAGAAAAACTTCATAAGAATTTACAACCGTAGTTTCACTAGAAATGCTTCTGGATCTCATTCCGACACTGCCAAATTATTATGATTGACATTACTTCACTGCCGACGAAATCGCGTTGACTTGTTTCTAAACAAACGAGTTCATGGTATTACGGATATCCTGCTCTTTGCTTCTCAGTTGTGTAAGTTTCCGGATTCCGAGACAATCAACCATTTCATGTGCCTGCTATACTTCTTTCCACATTCTACCGTTCACAGAATACAAAGTACCTATCTTGCTAACTTTCAAGAGCTTGATGTTTTCACAGTTTACTGACATAGTTGTTATCTCAGCTATGCACTGTCTAAATATATTTTTTCTTTCAAAACGTACAAATCCTTCCCTTTTTCGTGTTTTAGGAAGGCTTCTTTCTACATAGTTGTGTATATACCCCTTAGTTACTTTTCACGCCCCATTCTGTGCTTGTCTTGTCTTTTCCTTCTTCGCATTTCGCACAGATTTTCGTGTGTGTGACTTTTCACTCTTTTTTTTTTCTGAAGACTGTCTCTAATTGTTTGAATAATAATATTATTCTTCTTACTATTACTATAAAACTACTATTATACGCATTCACGTATTATTATTTGCACTTCTTTTAACCATACCTTTTTTCCCTTTCTTTTTTTTTTGCACCTGCAGGTACCTGTTTGCCTATCGGCCTACGTACAGCATATTCCCAAAATGGTTCGGAGTGGTGCACTCGGAAGAGTTGCCCTTCGCGTTGGGAAGTATGGTCTTCGCCAATGATCCCACGAGAGCGAGCATTGCGACAGAGAGCCTGCCCAGAGGCTTTCTGGGAAGGAGTTACACCACCAACGAGACAGAATTTATGCGACAGATGATGGACATTTGGGGATCATTCGTGGCTACAGGGTAAGTACGGAGCGTCTTGCGCTGCAACTATTTGCCTTGATAGCTAAGAAAACGACAGCAACCTCATTAATCTAGGAGAATGTGTGTTTAAAAACATCGTTTTGTATAACCTGCAGACGGCACGTTGAAAATATAGCGAGTCATATGAGTTAAATAAGCTACTCGCAACATAAATTGTATATAGTAACAGTTCTCAGAGAAAAAAGTATCTGTTGAGACCGGCTACAACGATGGAAGGTTAAATACTTCGCACAATTTACCCCATTAACAAGACGTAACCTAGTGTTGGTGATGCGTTGACACAAGCGTAAATTCAAGAGGTGCAGTTCTTAAGAACATAAATGCCATAAAAGTTTAGATAAATAAAGGTGATATTTCACTTGGGTCTAAGGTATATGTAATGTAAACTGCTTTGCAAATGCGGTGTGCTTATTTTTCGTTACTTGCACACACATGTGATAACTGGGATCAATATTAACCGCTAAAGGAAGTGATTTCATATTAGTTTAGGCTTGTAAATTTTGCTATAGAATACCGTTTAACAAGGTGCATTGATACGCAAATTGTTAGCACACTTGCGCAGCTATACCAAATTATCACCAAATAAGCGGCTCGACTAACGCTCTCAATTCTTCTCACTGACTACTATGCTATATGAGCGCCTATAAGGTTGACTTGAGACATCAAATATGTCCGTACAAGAAAAAAAAACATTTAGCTTAATGGCCGTAGATATATCGCAAAAAATTAAACATGCATCAAGAAGTACATGGAAACGTGCACGCGAAGAAAGAGGGGACTGGACCTGAAGCTTAGACGGTGGAAGGTTAGGACATGTTGGCCTAAACGATGAACAAAGTTACATGGGGTTCGAATAGCTGCCGTTTAGTTTGCAAAGTAGCTGGTTGACGCAGAATGAGAGATTGACTCATTTAATTATTATCGTACTTTATGCACAAACCACACAATGGAAACGAAATGTAATGGTGTTCGCCATCTTTCAGCAAACCATCGATACCCCTATACGACGTCGAGTGGCCAAGCTACACGAATACAAGGCAAGAAATCGTTCAACTCATGCCTTTCAACTACACAATAAGGCTCGATAAGTCGCAGGAGAAGTGCGAGCTCTACAGGCAATTCATGGTCAGGTGAGTAACTGATCTCCAATATACGTGGTGTTTCATTCCAGGGCAGCGTCCCTCCGGAAGTATGTTTCAAATAATAATACATCTACTTGCAAAGTAATGTCCGCTTCCCTCTTGGCCGCATTGTAGTATCGGTGTCAAACAAATCCCAACAGCGGCAAACATGAGATATGGTATGGGGATAGTGAGAATTTATTACAAGGCAAAGAGGTGAGCCTGTTATTTTGCACAGGGGATAAGGGAAGGAGGGAAGAAAGAGGGATAAAGGATAATGATGGGGGCAGGAACAGCGGCTACTTAACCTAGTACCGTATAGGTCCAGTCATCACTATTAACAGGCGTGCAGCAGGCCAGTTGGGCAGAGCTACGCATGTCTCCGGGGATGAACGGATGATGGACACTGTATACCATATCTCGCCGCTGTTTGGGTTTCTATCGACACCGATAGTACACATGCTTGTATGTGTAGTGAGAGAGTAAGTACAAACAGTGTAACACCACCTGAGCCCAAGTAATTCAATGAGCTGGATTCCCCATACGCTACATGAATGAAATAGGAAAATTAAAGGGGCCTTGACATGGTGATCCAACAATATGTAGTTTTCGGCGAAAAGTACAAGAAACGGGTCTATACAGATATGAAAAGTGGGCCATAAAAGAACATTTCAGTGCAAAATAGGCCCTAGAAATCACCAGCTGCAAATCCTGCCCCCCACTGGCGACTAGCCACCCACAATTGTCATTGCGATATAATAACAGCTTTAGCAGTAAAAGTTAGAGTACCCTTGGAGTCTACATGCTTCGTTTGCTGATATAATGAACGCATGGTTCAGGAGAAGCTTTGTAACAGCGTATACCCCTTTTCGAGACAATTTCCTACACGTATTGATGAAAGGCCACCACCGACGAATTGTCTCTAAGTCATGACCGGTTCTGCGTTAGGCACACGAACGCTACAGTTTTGACTTGATATAGCGTTAAAGAACTCACGGAAAGAGCTTAAAAAATAATAAGGTAGCTTCGCACTAGTGAAGTCAAGCCTGAATGAAGGGTAGTGCTCAAGTGTACTTCTTTGTTTCTCTCTTTTCTTCTTTCTGTCTCTCGTCCCCCCCCCCCCCCCCCAATTTTTCTATCTTCTTTTTCCTTTCTTTATTTCTGTTTATATAGAGTTTTCTTCCCATTTTCCTTTTCTTCCTTTTTCTATCTGTTTCTAGCTGGCTTTCTTTCTTACGGGGTTTTGTCTCCGGTACGCGGAGAGAAGACGATATACGACAGTTCGGGCCGCATTTAAAAAGTGTTCCGCATTTAAAAAGTTCATGACGTGGTCACCCAACAATTGACTGTTTTCGGCGAGAAATGATGAGAGAGGGTCGAATACGCATGCACACGTGTGAGAACTGGACTGTGAGACATTATTTCAGTCCAAAATAAGCCGTAGAAGTCGTCGGCTGTAAACTCCGCCCACCGCCGGCAAACACCATTGCGTCACGGCTAGCGTTACGTCACAAGCCGAAGTAGCAGTGTCGTCTTCTGCCACAAAACGGCACTTTCCGCACGCGTTCAGTGTTGCGAGTGTTGCTTGCCGCGTGGCCCGCACGTGTCAGTGGGTTGCAAGTATTGCGGTGCGTTACCGGCACCATCACCATTTGCGGCGACGATGTCGTGTACGTTGCGCATTTAGACTTCGACTCCATCGCCATCAGCTCAAGCGACGAAGAAAGCGTCGGAGACGGTGTGAACCAAGATGCCAACAACCTTGCCGTTGGGGCAGCCGTCGCAGACGGCTTTCCGAAATTATGAGTAGCTTTATTTCAAGCATGTCAGTTTGAAAAGCGAGCTTGGGATACGGGAATCCGTCGACGCTACATTCGCGAGTGAGCGCTACTTAGCGTATAGTGAAATCGGCAAAGCGTGCTGATATTTGCTGGCTAGCATACGTGCATGCATGACTTCCAGAGCTGAACATAATAAATAAGTGGTCGTAGCAACGCTGCAAGTTCGGGCCGTCGTTTTTCCACCAGTTGTTGCGTGCAAATGCCGAAGCGAATGGCATATCAGTGCGGCGCTAGGGTTACTCACGATATACTTCTCGGCCAAATCTTTGCTTGAACTCTGTCGATTTAGTTCAGTACCGGTAAAAAAAAAAGCGTGACGCTTAACCATGGCACTGCCTGCAAGCACTTTCAATAAATATTTATCTGTAGTGGCAAACGGCATGTGCATGGCACATTAACAGGACACTTTTTGACCTCCAAAATTGCTTGCTGCAAGTACCAGTGCTACATGGGTGATGCGGTGGCATTGTTTCAACCCCCGGAAGTAACTTAGTTCCAGTGGCAAGTTGAACAAAGCAGAAAAAAGTTTGATTGCAAGTGCAGCTGACCACGTCACGCGATCGTCGTCTGGAATGAAGACCGTGCAGCAGCTCGCCCAGCAAGCGGTTGGTGACGTCATGGCTTGTGATCGCGCCAATGTTGCCCGAGTCTCAGACTGCTCGCTCGTTTATAAAATATTCGATTAAAAATTAACCGCTCGACCAAATTCGCTCAAATTTCACCAGCTTGCCTGTGAACGTACAAAAATCAAAACACACAACACGGATTATGGTTGAAATTGGGTGTCATGGCCCCTTTTAAAGGCACTCGAAGAACGAGAAGACGACTTCTCTATGGAGCGAGCGCGCTCAATGTGCTTTAGATGGCTACGGTTTGCCTGCGTTGCGTGAAGCGATGACAACATACGACAGCATGCGACCCCACACCGGCCCCTTAAGGGTTGAGCACTTAGTATTCCGTTGTCGGTGTAACCGTCATAAGAGGCTGGGCCACAACTCAGCATTGGGCCTGACCGGAAAATAGGAAAGGATGCATAAAAAATAAGCAATAAAAAATTGAGGGACCCTTAAGCTACGCCCTTATGAGTTGAACACGAGAATGTAATCCAACCCCTATGGCACCCTTCAACCGCTAAGTGCATGTTTATTCATATGTTTTGTTACATACACACGCACGCACACAAACACGCACACAGTAGATTGGACCAGCGCGCGCTATTATCGCCGAATGGGCTCATTTTCGTCGTGGCACCTGTCGAACAAAATGCGTTGAAGGGGCCCTGAAACACTTTTTCAAGTAACCATCGAATGAATTCACTAGAAGAGCTTATTGCCTCACGAATTCAACGCCGCAACAATATTTAGACTCCGTCCAGTGCAAGTGGAGTTACAAAGGTTTGTCGCATGCTGCAATTGCGTTATCTCTTGTCTCGTCCTGACGAAAGCACTGGAAGCAAAGCAGGGAGGGGTGGCAGGGCAACGAAACTACCACACCTCGTGACCTTGAGCACTTTTTTTTTCTTCAAATGCGCAGCTTTCTCAGTGCGATCACGCGCGCACGCATGGACAAGTAGCGGCCTCCCGCGGCAATCTCGGTAACTTGATTTTTCGGTCGCAGACGCACAGAAGATTTTACCCTCACAACCAACGGGGTCGACACCGGCGGCAGGTATTTTGCGACACGAGCTCTTTAACGCTATCCCGTTAATATTTGGTTAGAGAGAGAATGGAATCTTAAGCCACCTTCGTGGCAAGCAGGTGATGATTGATATGGGGGGTTGAACGTCCCAAAACCACTATATGATTATGAGAGACGCCGTAGTGGAGGGCTCCGGAAATTTAGACCACCTGGGGCTCTTTAACGTGCACCCAAATCTGAGCACACGGGCCTGGAACATTTCCGCCTCCATCGGAAATGCAGCCGCCGCAGCCGGGATTCGAACCCGCGCCCTGCGGGTCAGCAGCCGAGTACCTTAGCTACTAGACCACCGCGGCGGGGCTGGCAAGCAGGTGTACTGCTACAGAGCAATGATGCTGCGCGGAACTGCTTCGGAAAACAATATACTGGCTGGATGCCATGTATTGGGACGAGTCTCTTTAAGGTATTTCGTATTCAGTGGCAGAAGCCTATATTCACTTCAGGCGTCAAAACATGAGAATTGCGTAACAAGCGCCTATAGTTAAAAGACCCATTCATTACAAAGCTCTCAGACATGTTGAGTCATCGCGTTTTGCTTGTGAAGGCAAGATTCAAGCAATCTCCAAGTCTTCATCTTTAGTTTTTTTTCTGTTAAAGAGACGGCATAAGAAATGAGGACCCTATGAGCTCCTTGTCGTAATGGCATTGACTGCATCTGCAGTACTGCTACTGTCGACATCTGGGGCATGTGATATGGTACATGGGAAAGGGATAGGAAAGGGAAAGAATACAATCACCGGTTTGAAGCACGAAGCCAAAAGGCTTATTTATGCCCCTTATTTCGGCAACTAAGAGGCTTTTCTTTCTGAGAAATTCGTGTGGAGTTACTTGTGTCTTTGTGCTACAAACCAGTGATTGTCTTTCAACCCTTTCCTAACCTTTTTTGCCACCTTGTGAATTTCCGCAGCACTCAATTATACTACCGGTATAGTACATCTGCTATAATATTTTAGGAATATGCACAATTAGGTAACTACTTTTATAAAGGCAGTCAATGATTGCAAAAGCCAATGAACATGAGACTCAAGCCGATACGCTGTAATATTTTTATTTGCGTCATTGACCGAATTCGGGAGAATATTTAAAAAGCATGAGCAATAAAGTGGTTAGTACGATTTTTATTTATTAATGATTATTGATTTTTTGATCAGTTTCATTCAACAAGAAGTCACTTGGTGGTTACCACTTCTGTATGCTTCATACGTAAATCATATAACTTTTTGTTTATAACTTGTTCAGTATTGAGTTGAGGTTCTCTTCTATGGAAGTTCGCAACACTTTTTTTTACTATTAAGGAAGGTTACAATTGTTTACACTTTGTACTTTTCTTGCAGGAAGGGTTCTGGGAAGCAACCTCCTCTGAGGATTGTTTCACCTGGAATTGCTGCTTCGAGCGGCAAATCCACACCTCCAGCCGTGGCAAGCGCAGCGAATCGCCAGACTAGCAAGAATGTTGCCACGTCACTGGCAGCCTGTAGCCTCTTGATGGCCGTGCACCATTCGTTTGCGACACTAGTTTAAAAGAGGGGCGTGAGCATTTACAAATCGCGTGCACTCGTGAACGCAAGGTTTGGAGAACAAGCTCCACAGCTTTGCGACGAAAAGTGTTGCGACGTGAAGCAACCGGAGAATGAACACGATACTGTGGAAGCTGCCTATTTAGCATTCAGATATGTGGAACTTCGGAGAGGTAACTTCTCTACAGGTAGACAGCGCTCGTGTTCGTCATACTTTCTCTGCCTCAGTCATTCCTCGTATGTATTTCCACAACTCTACGTTTCGAGCTGCTCATCTTTCCCGTGTAACGTCAACCATCGTCGCTCTTATTCCACAAAAGATTCCGCGTGATAATGCACGGCGACACACATTTAGGAAAGCCCCTTCTTACATAGTTTTCGTGAAGGTAAGGCACCGTACGTTTTGTAAAGATTCGCATTATTTTCCACGTGCAATGCTCGTCGTTATTTCCTTGTACCTTACTACTGCTGCCAGGATCGTTGTGCAACGCTTTTATTGCGCAATAATGATGGTGAAGAACTACACGTTGTTGAGAGTTGTAAGTCTTCATTTGGCGTCACGCCATGGAACGCTTTATATCTCAGTGCAAGACAAGTTTTACATTGCCGATTCTTTCGTTCGTTTTTTTTCTGCCCTCCCGTATCCTTTTCACATTTTCATGATGGAGAGTAGCTAATAGGATATATCGCTTGGTCGATCTTGCAGTCATCTTTTTTACATTTATTACTTTCACTTTGATGTTCAAACAGGCAGCTAACAGGATTACGAGTGAAAAGCCCAGAGTTGGTGCTAGCTGGTCATTGTCGCGTGCAGTAAATGGCTGCCATATCCCCTGCCAATACTCACTGCGAAGACGGAGCTTGAATTTTAAGTGCCAGAAACCTGCAGGTCAGGTTTCTCACCCAGTGTGCGTCGGTTGCAGGGGGTTTACAGCGACGAAAGTATTCAAAGTCAAAAGGCTCGCCTAAGCGGTTTTGTACTGTCATCTCGTGTTTGTAAATTGCGAAAAAGAAAGAACAAAAAACTGAATTTCAAAAAGCTTGCTCAAACCACAGCAAACAAGCTTTAGGCTTTCATTTTCTTTCTGATATTCATGTTCACCTTAAGCATGGTTTTCATATAAACCTTCAAACTTTTTGCCATGTTTTCTGGTCGAGTAATGCAGTCCTCGAATACGGGCGCATTCTCGAGGCTTTCTTCGGTAAGTGCTTCTTGGAAGTGTCCAGTCTCCTCCGGTAACAATACGTCCGTCATCGGGAGCGGCTACAATGTTCTTGCAGGAAACAATTACATCGGAGGAGCCTTTTGTAAATTCATTCTCTGGTACAGTCAGTCTTAAAGACATGGTGTTTTGAATGCTCCCCATTACAGATAATTACCGCTACGTTCAAATTGTGACAATGTTTAATAAATTAGTGATGCTTGATTACTGGATGGATTGTTCTCGGTTATCGTGCAAATCAAGACTATACTTAGGCAGATAGTTCACCACTAGGCAAGTAACATTAGTGCACTCTTCTCGTTTTTAAGGTGTTGAAGTGAAAAAAAAATTCTAAGTTTTCTCTCAGAATGTTCTTGCCTGCAAAAATTTTCGAAAAAATTTTGGCTGTGCATTACAGCTTAGTAGGCTTGATCGCTACGTTTGCTCACTTCTTGCGGCCGAGTCAACTGATGGTCTAAGATTCCGTTTTCATCTGTTTGCCGACTAATAGCAAGTGATTTCAGGAATTTCAATTATATAGGCAACTCCTGTTATCTTCTGTCATATCATGTGAGGACGAAACATTGCATCTGATTTTTGTGTTGACTATGAACAAAATAGAATTATTCACAAGTAAAGCACATGTTCTCGCAAGTTTCTGCGACAAGTCTCATTTATTTACAAATGTCATCTTGAAGGCTACGTGCGATTTACTAAACGCACGGTTTCTATGTACTTAGTTAATGCTGACTTTCTGTATGCACTCTTTATCTCGTAAAGCTTTCTAAAGCTGGGTTGCGCAATGTGACTATTTTATTTCGACAGAAATGCGGTGGAGCTGGCATTCGTGATCATTTTGTTTAGCTGAATCACGTGTAAACGCGTCTTGATGTTTTTATTTTTACATTTTACCAGCAATAATGATACATAATAAAGCGGGATTAGGTTTCTTGTATCTGGAATATCTAAGTGAAAAGGACAATCCGGCACTGCCCATGGCGACAAATTGATTGGTCGACATGCACATCTAGTAAAAAAGTGCTGTGATTATTACTGCGAGGAAGGATCGACGTCATTTCTGCAGATTGAAATAACAACATAGCTAGATGAATACATGAATGAATGAAATTTATTAATGCCCAATAGGTCACGCATGCCCAACATGGCTGGCAGAAATAAATATAACACCGCCTGTGATCTTAGCCTACAATACCTGTCAGGCGCCTCTGGATTGCGTATCGCGAAGGAAGGCTGGGGCGGAGGCAGCATCAACGAGCTCTTCGCTGCACACTAGAGCTTTCGTTGATGCTGCCACCGCCCCTGCAAACTTCGAACTGTAATGTAACGCTGCTCGGCCACCACCGACTAAGAATTTGGTGTGAGGAAACGTTATCTGGAAGCAAGCAAGCAACGATGTAAGCGGCGACAAAATGACGGTCTCGAAAGTCATCCACACCTTTCAGTTATTCTTTAATATCAGTGAGTGTGTTACATTCTTATTACTAAGACGAAAACTTAAGATGCCTCGTAAAACGAGAAAATTGTCCGTAATACATTGTAATTGTCAAGACAAAAACCTTATATGTCTCAAACGGAACGAAGAACTTTATTAAATAAAGATCAGAAGAAGTGCCACCCCTTAGGGTGACACTGCGGGCCACTCCCACGTGGGGACTTTTAAACCGAACCAAACCGCCGTATTGCAGGTTCTCTGGACAGCCCAAACTTGATGCTGATATTCCGAGCTCTTGAGCGCCAAGCTCAATTTCTGCTCCGTGAGGTCACCATCCAAACGGCGTCAACATGAGCGATGCAAGAAATCGTCAAAAATGCGTGTTAACATCACCATACGACTTCACAATGACGTCACCAGGAGTCTCCATGACCTCACATACGATGACATCGTATGATGACGTCCTCTCACGACACCGTCCTTTGTGCAAAAGTGGGCCGATCCCGGTGGCAACGCTAAACCATGACGCGCAGAGAGCCTTCGGAGGAAAGTGGGGCAGCATCAGTACATCGACTGAGCAGAAAAAGAAGATGGCTTTCGCCGTCGAGCTGTCTTAGGCTAATGTGTAGGGGTTCCTGTTAGTTTTTGTGAGTTCCTCATAGGTCGCTTAGGGGGTGCCTACTTATAATGACTGCCCGTTGGGTGTGTTCAGGAGCATAGGAAGAATTTTTTTTCGGGGGGGGGGGGGCACTTCCTTGAATTTTAGGGGGGACGGGCAGGATGGTCGAGTTCTATTTTGTGCTCTACATGCCACCGCAAATTAGGAACAAATTTCGAGGAGGAGTGAGGGGGGGCACGGTCCTGGTGTGCCACCACCTGGCCACGCCACTGTGTGTGATGGCTAGAAATAACGGAGACTTTTGAAGCACACATGTCAATGTGCTACCAGCAACTGCTAGCTTTATTTAGAAAACAATGTTCTCTTATACACGAAGTAGATGTACGTCAACGTTAAAGAGTAGAATCAACAACGTGATCACAAAAGAAACTAACAAACAAGAGATGTAAATAATGCTTGTCCTCACACCCAAGGAACGAAAAAGCAGAAAAAGCAAACCCTTCTTTTTACTTTCCCTCTAAAGAAAATCAATTTCACAATCGTAAGCTGAACAGACGGTTGGCTAACACAGAGATGTTCGTGATCTCCTTCCCGAAGCTCCGGCGTTCATCAGCTCTCGTGCTTCACTCTAGAAACAGTGAGTTTTTTGGAATATAATTACCCATAAGGAAACAAATGAATCTAGCACTCCATCGTTACCAATGTGTGCTCCCTACGGCTGAATGTTAAACTTTTTATAAAGTGTATTGCGGTATAATCCCACCATCGTGCAATGTTGCAGTGGCTGGGCAACAAGAAAACGCGCGCGTTGATTCTGCGACCAACCAATCTAGCTTTTTCCAATATAAGCAGTCATGTAACAAAAAATGCCCCCACTTTCCCGAAGGAAAATGCGAAGAAATACGAATGCATTTCTTGCGCTGAGAGAGGGTACCGTTGCCGTGAGACATTCGCCTTCATCGACTTCTGGCATCGCCTTGAGAGGCGTCCAACCAGTGAACGGTCGAGAGTGAGGCGCAAGCAGACGGAAGAAGGGCGCGCAGGGAGGAGAGAGAGAGAGAGGGAACGGTGAGAAAAGGAGCGTCGAAGCACGGCACCTACTTTCTCCTACACTCTCTCGCACCCCGTGCTCCTGTTGCTAGGGACGAGAATAGGCGAGGGCGCCCGCAGCTGTTTCTATGGGAGAGGGTGGTGGACGGATCTCGACGGACGCCTGACATAGCCCGACTGAGAAATGCATTCGCATCTAAAAACAAACTACTCAATAATTTGTACCAGCTTGACACAAAATTTAATAGTATTCGCAGTGTCTGTGCATAGCTGCAAGACTTAGACGTAGATGCACTAGTGATTTGCACATCCGTTCTCTTTCACTGTGTTTGCTAAATCACCCAGAGCAGGTGCCTCCCAGTAATATTAGTACACCTCGATGGACAGTCTCGTTTCTAGCAATCGATCCTGGATACTGGAATGCGTGATATTCACACAAACAAACGACGAGAATGCCGCTCAAGTTTTTACAGCCAAGTGGCCTTGTTATATGACTATGGCATGGTAATGCTTCTATGAGCGTATTTGCGTGTATCTTTCACATCTGTCTTTTATTCTTTTCTTTCTTGCCATGGTGTTTCCCCTTTTCTTTCCCCTCTGCAGCGTATAGCGAATTGGATTTCTATTTTTCTATTAACCTGCCTGCCTTTCACATAACTGTGACCTTTTTCATTATAAGAAAAACGAGATAAAAAAACGTACCAGCAGAAGCCAGAGATTCATCCCTATTGATATACAATTTTATTATGCACTACCTTCACAAGCTGCTAAGATGTCGAATATTCGACGCTGTACAAGACGCGCCACTCGGGTGCCATCTCTCATGCCTCATTTCGTCACACTCGTAGTTACCGCCGACACAACCGCCATATTTGACATCCAAGGAGCCGTACGCACCGTCGTCGGTAGTTGATATGCAGAGTGAGAAGTAGTGCACGTAGGGGCACCCTTGACTGAGATCTAATCGCCGTTCCTCGTTTCGAGCTCGGTCACAACCCTGATGAAGGTCGCGTTCAAGGTAGCAACAGGGCTGGCGCACCGCATTCATAAGCGAGTCGTCGTTCCAAGGCTCTTACGCGCCACCACCCCGAGCTGTCTTGGTGTCGCACCGAGGCCTTCATAACAAGCGCCATCTGATGTCTGGATCTTCAGTGCATGGCATTGTGCGTTATTATTTTTTATGCATAAATTACTCTTCACTTTTTCATTTATATATATGGTGACTTTTTTGGCAGTGTTCTCTTTGCCTAATTGGTGTAAGAGTAAGTAGCGCTGATCTTCGTAGAAACAAAACGAAGGCGAAGACTTTTCAACTCGATTCAAGTGGCCTGGAGGCACCCTTGTGCATCAGGAGGTAGAGAGAAAAACAAGAACCTGTTGAAAAAAACTCTCAAGGGGCCTCAAGCATTCGCCTAATGCGAGTCGAAGGAAAAAGCTGTCTTTTTTTTTCTCTGTCAAGGCCTATATCCTCTTCCCCTACGAAAGCTTTCAGGCGCTTACGTGGTTTTACCCAGACTTTCTGCATCTCAGCTGCTTTTGCATTGCCACCGTGATCGGCCCACCATTAAATTAGTGAATATGACGTGTGATGACGCAAGCTTTGGCGATTTGTTATGTCATGGTGACGTCATAGTGGTTTTTGCATCCCCCGTGCTGACGCCGATGCCACGGAACATCAACGTCGATGGCCAGTTTCAGCGCTCAGTGGTCTGTTTCAGTGATGACTTTCAGTGATGGTAAGTTTCAAAGTTCACTCGGCCTTGAGTTCTGTTAGAAACATACATCTATCTGTCGTTATATACAAAATAAAGTTTTAGTACATATACTGTAGGCAGAACTGAAAATTCGTTCAAGTGGACGATTTATTGAGGTGTGAAGCTGTGCTAGGAAACTGTACTATCGGCGTGAAATAAAACCAACACAGCGGCAAGCCTTCGTGATGGTATGGTGGTCCACTTATAACCATGGACAGGCACGCATATGTGCACAGAGCTGCGGAACAGGATGCGCGCACCGGTCAATCCTGATCCCTCGACAACTAACCTCACTCGACAACTACCGGGGACGAGATTGTACGGTGGCCTCCACATGTTGTTCAAAGAATTTATGTGCTGTTTAAGCAGATCCCATGATTTGTTCTCCCATTCCATTACCCTTTATGCCAATTTAACACGCCATGCTACGAGTAACTGCAAGTAAAATAGATAAAAAAGTCATCCACAAAATCCCACTTTCTTTTAGAACACATACTTCCTGGCTAATGGGGCCTCGGTGGTAGAAGTCAAGAGGGCAACCCACGCTGTTCGAAAATTTTCATTTATGTTCATCGGGTGAACGCGCACTGCCCTTGCCCTATTATCACCTGCAGGTGTAGGTCCAGGGGGGAGGGGAGGTGGGGTTAATGTTACCAGCCATAGAGGACCAATTTGAAATTCCGCTGTGATTACTGAAGGCCAACTGCTCGAATAAAAAAAAACGATTGATTAGACTGTGCATTCATGGCAACGTAATTTTAGGTGAGGAGCACTTTATGGGGCTGGGCTGTCGTATATGCTGTCCTCACTCCGCACAACGCAAACAAACCAAGTATATCAGAAGAAAAAAAGCGACAACGAGAAATAGAAAGAGAAAAAAAAGAATAAAAATTGCAAATAAATAAAGATGAATAAAATACAGAGGAAGAAATGCCTAAGGACTTGGTCAAAGCGGCCGATATGCATGTGCAAGAAAAAGTAGACACAACAGTGCTTACATTGACAACTAAGTTGGAAGTGTAAGCGCTGTCCCGTCTCCTTGTCGAAGTCGGTGTTTTTCGGTGCGATTCAACTAAATTTTAAAACATGAACGTCAACTAACCAGCTCCACTCACCATCTTGCTACAGAAAAACTGAAAAGGAGAAGGAGATCGAAAATTGCTCCCACTTCCCCGAAGGGAATCGTGAGGAAATGAGAAGGCATTTATTGCACCGAGAGTACACGGCGTCGTAATTTTAATGGCGTAAATTAATGATGAGACGAGAATTTATACCACAACTGTTTATATACACATTCATCAGCCAGCGAACGATCGAGAGTGAGGCGCGGGCTTCACTCCTATTATATATACGTTCGAGTGAACGGACCGGAAAGTGGGGTGCAGGGAGGAGAGAGAGTGAATGACGAGAGAAGGAGCGGCGGAGCACTGCACCAACTCTCTCCTACACTGCCTCCTCACACGCCGGAGCTCCACCGAGTTCCCACGATGCGGGCGCCCTCACATGCCAGAGCGTGCTCCTCCTCTCCACTCACTCTACGCAACTCCATCCGCACAACCTGTTGCGGTTGCTAAGGTGAGAACAAGCGCACGCGCCTAGAGCTGTGGCTATGGGAGAGGGAGTGAGAACGGAGAGATAACACGTGCCGACGTTCGGACACCGATAGACGCCTGACATGCCCCGACTAAGAAATGCATTCCCATTCAAAGGGGGGACAAGAGAAAGCTGAAGAGAAACAAAGAGGGCTGCCCAGCTCCACACTTCCTTCAAGCCTAGCACCTTGAAGCAAAGCTGACTTCATTTTTTAGGGGTGAAGCTTCTAAAGCCGGGGGTCGGTCCATGCATCTCTTTTTGGGGCCGGCTCAAAACCACGTAGCTGCACAACCCACTCAGCAGGCAGCACCACTGTGAGTGACAGGCAGACGGACGGACAGACATACAGATGCAGGGTGGACAGAAAGAAAATGGACGGGCTGAAGGACGGACAGATAGTCAGACAGATGGACGGACGGACGGAAGCATGCACGGACAGACAGAAGGACGTATGGATAAACGGACGGACGAAAGCATGAAAGGACCGACATACAGAAGCATAAATGGACGGACGGATGGAAGCGCGCACGGATTGGACACACGAAAGGATGGACGCTTCGCCCCAGTTATCACCATTCACTCCGTGGATATGCTGTGATGTTCTATAAACCCTCTGCAGATGCACGTAATTTCAACTGACATGTGACCTATATGAAAACAACGACCAAATCTGCCCTCCGGGGAATGATTAACTGCTGTTAGACTGAGATTCGGATGCAGCAAAACGTGTCACAGCCACCCTGTTACGTTAGACGCGACGAGAGAAGTATGGGAGAATGTGCGAGGAATACGGAAACTGTATAACTTGTAAGACAACACACCCCATAATTCGGTATTGCAAGAACTCTGATATGCGTGTCGAGAGTCGAAAAGAGATAGCTGGCACAAGACAAGCAGGTGTGCAAGCGTAACCTAACGACAACCACCGACACATGCACTTTCCTGCAATGCCGGCAACTTAAGATATAAAGAAAGAAAATATGTCAGTGCGGCATAATGATCAGATAACTATGTTGTTTCGCTGGTAGGCTATTGTTCGATTCGTTCGAACCATCAGACACCTGATGATTTTTCTTGACGAGACTCGAAATGATACAGAAATTGACCAACCCACTTGTTAATTACTACAAAGTGCCTGTGCGGATACAAATATTGCTTTTCGTTATAGGACATATAGACACTCCGTAAACAACTTTAGCAGGAATGGGCTTTACAGAACACTAAACGAATAAAACTGCTCTATTGAGATGATCGTTCGTTCTCCGGGTGTAGCGTGGTGACCGGCCAATTCAGATACCATGTGCTTAAAGGGCCCCTAAACAACCAACCTACTCTCGCGTGATGCTCTCCATGCGTTTTCTTTATTGACAACAGCCGTCATGACGTCACCTGCAAGATTAGGTGACGTCGCAAGCAACAGACGGGGTTAATGGGCGAATGAGAGCCTGTTTTCTGCTAGCAGATGCGCGCGCTTTTTGCGTCTCCGCCTCGAACGAAGAGGAAGGCCACTCGGAGAGGTGAACAGGAGAGCGGACGAACGAAGACTAGCGAAGGAAAGAGCGAAACGAGCCAACTCGTGCAACCCCGCCAGCGTTCCTCGTAGGATAGTGTACAACTGGAACGCACCACAACAAAATTTCGACCTCTGGGTGGTTTGGGGGCCCATTAATACGATAGTGCGTGTCTTGGTGATAAAATAAACCTATGCATGTTTATGCAATGTAGCACCACTTCTCTGATGACTACTCGATTTCTAAGCTTAATAAGCAGAAATTCTGTAAACTGCGTTTTCGTCAACAAAGAGGTCAACTTTACATGTTGTGAGCAAGTTGATTAGCTCCTTCACCTGTTGAACGTGTGAAATGCAAAAACGAAAAGACTACTGTTACCACCAGTTATCTGAATATAAATGTCAGTCATATATGACTCACTCGTCATATGAGACTAACTTTCAGATGCATACATTGCTATACGTTCATCACATTTTTTTCTTTCTCTCTTTCTCTCGTTTTTTCTTTCTTTCTTTCTTTCTTTCTTTCTTTCTTTTTTGTTCGTTTCTTTCTTTGTTTGTTTTCTTTCTTCGTTCCTAACTTTCCTTGTTTGTTTTTTCCTTCGTTCTTTTATTTCCTTAGTCCTTTTTCTCTTTCTTTTTTTCTTTCTTTCTTTCTTTCTTTCTTTCTTTCTTTCTTTTTTTCTTCCTTTCTTTCTTTCTTTCGTTCTTTCTAGCCTGCTTTCTTTCTATCTTTTTTCTTTCTTTGTGTCCTCCTTTTTCTCTTTCTTACTTGCTTTCTTTATTTGTTCGTTTCTTTCTTTTTCTTCAATCTTTCCTTGTTTCTTTCTTAGTTTCTTTCTTTCTTTGTTCCTTTCTTTCCTTAGTTCTTTTTTATTTATTTCTTTCTTTGTTCTTTTTTCCCTTAGTTCTTTTTTATTTATTTCTTGCTATGTTTCTTTCTTTCTTTCTTTCTTTCTTTCTTTCTTTCTTTCTTTCTTTCTTTTTTTCTGGTCACTAGCCCTCACTGAACACTTTCTAGTTATTTATACAGTCTGAGGTTATGTTTATCCTCGCAGCACGTTGCCTCTTTAAATATATAGCCGTACAGCCCAGTCACGCGTGCGCTTACCTGGCGTCACGTGATTAAGAAAACAAGTTGTCCAAGCGGCATAGCATACGCGCAAACGAACAAACACAAACACGAGGAAGTTATTCGCCGAAGCAGACGCAGACATCATTTTGTGAGAACTCGGCTTCTCGTGATTGTGACCTTGGCGACGCCGCTATCCTCATTCATGTGCCGTTGTTTGTTTCTGTGTTCCCGCTCGCAGACTTTCGCACGTTTGATCTAAAGGCGGCACGAAGAATATGTTTTAGTGATACAAAAGACTCAACACGGTTCATTCCTCCTTGACTAGTGTAATTTTTTCTTGTATAGGCTTGCGAGAAAGACACTTGGCCAAGTAACAACAAAGGAAGAGCCCCAATTATAAACAGTTAACATTGAAACAAATTTCTTAATGACATAGTAGCAGGAATGTCCTCGCACCTTACCACATTTATTCGAGTGTAACGTGACCGTGCATGATTGTAATGCAAGGGGTGACTTTTCATTGCACCCAGGAAAATAAAAAAAGCTATGTCGGTATTAGTCTGTAACATGAGGGTCGACATTAAAATCAGAAAAAAAGTTTGTGTTACATTCCGGTAAATATGGTAACCTTATATAGTAGTTCATGTACAACGGTAATTACTATGCATCAAATCGGTGACATCAATGCCAGTCTATGTTTCCTGTTTACTACTGACATTTAATTTTGGGTGTATCATTTTAAATAAAAATTTTTATTTCGCACACACTGATCGTCCGAATGGGAATTTTATCAGAAATGGCATGCATATAACAAGCTTATAACGCAATTGTAATTCTCATCCATAATCGGAAATCGCACTACCTAGGGGGACATTCACAGCGTATTCAAATTTCTTCCACAACCTAATGGGCGCTCTAATGCAACTGTGTCCTCTTGTTCGAGACTGCTGTACTGAAGTAACGAAAGTTACCACACGCCTAAACGCTCGGTAAGCAAACGCAAAAGCCGACAAACTCGAGTTTCGACACGTGTAGTTGTTTTTTTATATAGCTGTGCGTCAGAGAAAGCGCAAAAAGGAATTCCCAGGGGTTTTTCGCTTCTTTCCTCATTAAGTGTAACCATAAGAAAATAGATGCCAGCTAGCAAGTACATTCTGCCATCGCGAATTTGAAGTTAATACGTGTTTTCAGGCTAGCTCTTCTGTATATTTGCCAGCTGAGAATTCAGCAGTAACGTTCGATGCTCCATGCCTTCGAAGACAAGAAAAACGCCCTTGATTACCAGTGCCTCTCACACACGTGTCGCTTTGCATACCTTATGTAGGAATGAGTAATAAACGTGATCGAAGACTAAAAACCTATAAGAGGGGACGGACACCCTTTAACTGAGAGCAAGGGGCATCAGACCTGTTTTGTTGTGGGAGACGTCAAGGTTAGGCAACCGGAGGCAAAAACAAACGAAAAAAAAAACAGGATTGACAAAGGGATTTTCCCTCTCCAGTAGCCGCATTCGTCTCGCCTGGAAGCTTCTGAATAGTTGAGAGAGGTGGAACCGTATCACTCATCTTGGAACCTGCGCAGCACTCCGTCACACCATCATGGAGTCGGCACGCTCATCTCTACACTTGTCGCTGCTCGTCTCCTGGCTCGTCACGTGTGGATATCGGACGTATGCGGCCGAAGTTTCGAACGACGCCCGCTCTCCCGTTGTCCGCATCAGCGATGGACTCGTCGCCGGCCGACGTGACATTGTCAGCGGTGTTCCGGTGCAGGCTTTCCTCGGAATACCTTACGCGCAGCCACCGGTGGGAGAGCTGCGTTTCGAGAAACCACGGCCTCCGATTCCGTGGAACGGAACGTACGACGCCTCGAGAACGCCCAACCCGTGTATGCAGATCGACTTTCCTTTCATAAAGGAGGCAAAAATCAAGTACTCGCACTCTTCGGAGGATTGCCTATACATGAACGTTTGGAGGCCCGCTACGGCGTGTGCTTCAGACGGCAAGTGCGAGGCCAATTTGCCCGTGCTGGTTTTCTTCCACGGAGGTGGCTTTCAGTGGGGCGACTCGTCACTGTTCGTTCACGATCTGTCCAACTTTGTTGCTCTCTCCAACGTGATTGGTGTCGGCTTCAATTACAGGGTGAGCATTTTCGGTTTCCTAACGGCGGGTTCCAAGGAGTTCCCCGGGAACTGGGGCCTCTGGGACCAGCACCTAGCGCTTCAGTGGGTGCAGAAGAACATCGCCGCTTTCGGAGGCAATCCGAACGAAGTGACACTGGCAGGTCAAAGCGCAGGGGCCATCTCGGTTGCTCTGCACTCAATTTCACCGAAGGGAAAGGGCCTTTTCAAAAGGATGCTTTTGCAAAGCGGGGCCACGGCGTCGATGATAGTTGGAGAGCCATACAAAGGCACGGGAAAATTCTTAGCAGTGGCGGCAGCCGCGGGGTGCTACGATGAAAGACGAAGCCTCCAAGAGCAGTTGAAAGAATCTGTGGCTTGCCTTAAGAAAGCCGATGGCCGTGCCATCTACGAGTGGCTCGCGAAAGAGAAACCTCAAGACCAGATATTCCCTCCCGTCAACGGTGACGACTATCTCCCGGTTGACCCTCTCCTCGAAAACGCGGCTGATGAAATAGCTGCGCAAGAGGTTTTCTTGGGGACGGTTGCTAACGAAGGCACGGTGTTCGCTTACCACATTGGCAAAGTTTCCGCTGTTGCTGAAGGCGCCTTTTCGTTCGTGGATGACTACAGGTTTGTCGTTACGTTGGTCATAAGTACGCTTTTCAACCTACCGGTCTCAACAGCGAGGGGAATCATCAAGGACTACTTTGGTGATTACGACAAGCACCACACCAAAGATCAAGTACTGACGATTTTCGGTGACATCATCGGGGACGGCGGCTTTTACTGCCCCGTCGTATTCTTTGCTGAAAAGGCATCGAAGCAGGGCATCAGGACGTATAGGTATCAATACGCGCACAAGTCTTCCTTCAACGTATGGCCAGACTGGGTCGGCGTCTTCCATACTGAAGACCTGTTTTTCACCACAGGAGCACTACCTTTTCTCACCCAGAAAGAGAAGCATCGGCCATCGCTGTGGCACACGCTGAAAGATGAGCTGAACGTGACGCACTACACCGAAGACGAAGAGATGTTCATGAAAGAACTCGTTTCTACAATTGCTGCCTACGTGCAAAATGGGTCAGTACTTTGTTACATTTGTTCAGTTTACTGGGGAATGGGCGTTTATATAGCACGGAAATGCACAAGCCAGTGTGAATTAAGAATATATATCTATAAAGGAACACTTACAACGTCTCCTATACAATAAAACGGTGTTCTATATTTTAAAGACTCTTTTACAGCCGATTTAGAGACCAACCTTGAATTCACATTCATTTTTGAAACACTGCATTCTGCATGGCAGCGTGAAACAATAACCTTATTTCTGTATTTTATACTGCAGCATATTTAGTAGGGTTAACATGCCATATATGATGACTGCCACTTGGGCATGTCGGTATAAGTTCATGTTTGATACAAGCGCCAAGAACTACAAACACCCAGAAAGCGCTCCCCCTGTGCCCTTTCTCACTTTTCGTAGTTTTTTGGCGCTTGTTTCATCATGAACGAGTCACAGTTCGATGTCAGATTTCCAGCGAGAGACAGCTACGCAGGTCCTGGTGAGGTGTTTTAACTCGGCTCACAATAAACACTGACAGTCCATTGGCGATATTTGGCGATGTGACCTGGTACCTTTTTGTGGGTATCTATAGAGTGTAGCGTTTTAGATATTCCTGCTCGAAAAACAAGAAGAAAAGGAAACGTTCTCGAAACGTACGGTAGTCTAATTATGTGGTTTGTAGTGCTTTAGAAGCGGTAGACTGGTTCACGTGAACACAATGCAATTCATTATGCGCCATACAGGAGTTCACGTTTGTTTATACAAGTGGGATAAACATGGAAAACAAAGAGCGATATACAGTCATAGTCTATTTACCAATACCCTGACCTCTACCCCTTGCTGACTGAATCCGCAATCATGGCTGAGAAATTTCCCCCTTTTCAAATGAAGAATAAATTCATTAACCTATTTTTCTATGTCAAGTACATATTTGAAAACACGGCTGCTAGAAAAAAAATGTTTGTTTCAGTGACTCACATTAAAAACTTACCAAGAGAGAGAGAGAGAGAGAGAAAGAGAGAGAGAGATGGAAAGAAAGACAGGGAAGTTAACCAGGTTGTACCCGGTTTGCTACCCTACACGGGGAAGAGGTAATAGCGAGAAAAAAGAATAGAGAAGGGAAAAAGGAAAGACCCTAATTACGCAGACTATCAACTTGACCAGTTGGTTGCGAGTCTTCGGGCTCGTCGCAAGGTATAAAGCACACAACCTTGTGGTTCGGTACGAAGAACTTAATTTAGAGATCCTGAGAAATGCCCCTTGGGGCAACACCACAGGCCGCTCCCACGTGGGGACAGTTAGATCTAGTGTAACCACTGCTTCGCAGGCTCTCTGGGCAGCTCAAAGTTGATTACATATTTGAATTTAATTACAATCGACTGAACGGAGCGGGACAGGGCGTATGTTTGGCTGCGTTACTCCCATAGCGAAATGCTTCGTGCGTCTTCGTTGATCTTCTAATTTTGTACGCATGAGCTGCGCTTCCACTACGCCTGATCGAACTGAATGTGGTGGTTTATTCCGCATCATTACAGCCGTCAACGACAAACCCAGCATGCGCCTCTGGAGATCTCGAATGCACTTTTCACGCAGCTCGTGCGTTGTAGTGAAGCTCAGACCGTATAAAAAGCCTTGTTCCATTCAACTGTCCTGAATAACCGGCGCCCCTTCATCATGTCTTGTTGTTGCACTGAAGACAGCTACTCGCTTACCACACTGACGGTCTCAGTTTGGTTTTTCGTAGGGACGAAGTGAGGTCATCGGATCGAGGCCTAAGGCGTGTGAGAAAAAAAAAACAATGAAACACAAAAATGCGTCTTTTTTATAAGAACGGGAAATCACTCAAGTGCTCTTTAACCTGAAAAGTGTACAGAAATAATAAAACGAAATTTATTCGACAGATTTAAGTATACTTTATTTCAAGTTGTTGTTCTAAATGAAACAAAAGAGAAGTGTCCTGGTGCCTTCGCAGATGTCAGTTGTACTTTTCTTATATTTTTTTAAACAACCTGTAAATAATGTCGATGAAGTTCGTCTTCGGGGAAAAAATTAAAGAAATATCAACCAAACTGGATTGGATAATACGGAACAACGAACAAAGAATGGTGCATTGCGATATGTGAAGCCATGTCCTTAAGTAATGCGACTTACTGCGGTAGCAACATCACTTTGCAGGAAACCAACCATACCGGGGTCGCACGCGGAGTGGCCTTTGTACAACACGGGTGCACAGCAATACGTGCGCCTTCGGCCGGACAACTACACAATAGAGACTGAGGAGCGGCAGGCGTTTTGTGAGCTGTGGAGGCCGATTCTGCTGAAACGGTAAGTTGTGCCATCGAGCATCTCATGATATCAAAGAAAGTACGCCCCTTGTGACCCTTTGCGAACGGTATCAGTGCTAGATGCGTGCCCACTACGTATGTACATCGCAGTTCATTAAGGTGAAAGTCTCGGGATGTCTCATCGAACGTGAGAATCGACCATCGGCGTCCTGCGTTGGTGGTGCCGACACATGTGATGTGAGAAATTATTGATAAATAATTATGTCACTATGCCTAATCATAACACGACTTCACGTGATGACGCCATCACATGACACTGTCACTGGGTTAATGATGGTCCAATCGCGGATGAAGTGCACAATAAGGTGAAATGTACAAATCTTGCAATGCATTGCAATGCCGTAAAAAGCCACGTTAAGGACTTAAAGTTTTCGAAAGGGAGAGTGATAGGACCAATACATCGACCGAGAAGATAAAAAAAAAACGATGCATTCGTCTTATAGTCGTCATGCTTTTCAGCTCAATGCGACGAATGTTAGTTTTAAACTATTCAGGATTTTCAGCTACATGCATTTCATAAAAAAGAACATACATGACAATAGGGATCTGAAATGAGAACGGGTTGCAAAAACGTATACGAAGCTAATGCCAAAAGCGATAAAGATTCCGTGAGTCGAAATATATCGCAGTACATATGGACGTTACAGAGGGCTCAGACAATGGCTTTGCGTACTTCATGGCGTATATTTTATTTGCTTGTATTTATTAAGTGCTGCTTTTTCTAAAACAAGGAACTATTTTTATATTTCGTTCAGAACACGATAAATTTGTTGATACATGTTGATAGAGCCCGTGTGGGGAAGCACGACGCTTCACAGTTGATTTAGCTGTCGTCCTTTCAACATTCCCGTTAATGCAGCGGGTACGTAATGTTTCAATGTGCGACAGCTGATTCCCCCATACCCCACACAACTTCTATTCAAATGTATGAAAATCAAAAAGCTTGAAAAGCTTCTGAAGAAGAAAACATGGTCACAGTAGCTAATTGTCTTCAGAGTTCTTGACAGCCGATTTTTAAAGCAGCTCTTCACGATCTACCAGAATCTCAATTCCCCAGTAAAGTTCTTCGACACCACGGGAAATGGTTCAAGGGCCCTTCTAAATCTGTAGAAGACGTACTGTTGGTATCCGCATCACTTCATGCGGCGGCCGTGACACAGAACGGAACCCTCGCCCTTCTCTCACATCGAGATGTCGAAACAAAGCAGACGTAGCGAAGAGGGCTCTTACAATTAGCCAACGAGCGTTATGACCTTGGCTATTTATATTGCGCCACGTGTTTATACGTTCCCGTATCGATACCCGAGGGCAGAGGATCAAGTTTATAATAGACTGCGACTCAGCCCGACACGTGGCTGCACCGAGACGCTGTTTACGTATAGACATCCGCATAATGGCGTGGCAGCAAGGGATTTCCCCCATGATTACTTTTGCCTCAGACAAGTCTTACCAGAAAGCGAGGCAGCTGCCACCTCGCTAGTATATAGAAGCGTCGGTTATAGAAGCTGATACCCGATGCTACATACTTGCATCTTTATGAACTAGCAGAGAACACAGGTGCATATAAGGAAAGAGATACAAGGTAGGCGCTCTGCGTGTATCTTTCCCGTGCATGTACTTTTGCGGCCACTCAACGGGGCGCGCCTGGAACCGGCAGTCCACAACGTTCACTACGTAGATGGTAGATATGATCGCGTGATTAGGTGGTGTTGATTGCCTTGCTGATCCCTGAGGCAGACGAAGATGTCTAAACAGGTTGGGTATACCCAGCGGCTGCAGCAGCAACGAACATTTGCGTGAAGGACGAGTCACGAGATGTGTACCGAGTGTTGTGACGAAGAGAAAAAAAAATTACTTCAGGGAACTCATAATGCAGCTGCATAAATAACGACAGCCATTAGTCACCAGAGGGAGATATACTTTCAGTTTATGCTCACATATATTTAAATTAGGGATGTTTCAACGTAAGGTCCGCAATATAACGTCCATGTATAATAGCGTGAAATCTTGTTTCTGCTGACGCAGAACATCTCCACTCTGAATGAAGCATATGCTACCAGATGATAGAAATAACTAAAAAAAATGGTATCTTTTTGATTTGCCATTGTTTAGTACTGGTGTACATGAAACCCGCAAAACTATCCGAAGTTGCATATGGCACAAATAAACTATTTCGCATCTATAATCTTTCATGTATTAAACATCAGTTGCCTCATGCACTGATTTGAAGTTCAAAAGTAAGTCCCATTGTGATCTCAATATAGGCCGAAATCACCGTTTTATAAAAACCGGGCATGATCGATGACCGCTGTGGCGAATCGGCTAATGCTTATTTCATGGAATGACTTGCATTGCGAGAGAGAATGAAGAGAGTGAGAGAAGGAAGGAAAAGTGCTTAAGTAAGTTCGACTTTTCGGTTTGCTACCGTGTATTTAGGAAAAATAATTGAGGTTGTAGAATAGGTTAACAGAGCAGTACCTTCTCATTACAAGTGTCACGTTTATGGGCACGTTTAGGCGCAAATTGCATGAATTGCTTTAACGAGCTGATGCTCCACAGTCTCCGATGCTGTTTCGGAGTGTCAGGTGATGTGTTACCAGAAAGCAAAAGGTGCTAAAACGTTCTAAGTGCTAATAACAGTAGCCGCCGCTATATTTTTGTTGAGTATATCAAGTAAATGATTACTTAATTTCCACAGAACAGCCCGTAAGCAAGCTGAAATGTTTTGCGCGACGTGCCCCCCCCCCCTTCCATTGAATAAAATAAAGAAACCAAAAAAACTGTTAAGGGGGGTGGGGACTCAGCCAGTCTTTCGTTCCAAGATTTTACAATGACAGCTACTAGGTATTTACAAAGCTTTACTGTTGCGTTGCTTTCCGAAAAGCCCTAAATTATTTTTGTATCTACACTACAGACACATTTAGTAATTCGTCATGTTATGTTGCGTCTTTAAATACTAACAGCAAGAGTTGTGCTAATCATTAAGTGAGAAGTTTGTTCTTCTGTAGTGATTCACGCCTGAAGGAGAAAGTGGGATAGTTGCAGGTGTAACAGGTGTAACATTTTAACTATGAACAGAACAACACCAGTAATGACAATAACAAGTTTTGCAAAGACACGTTACCGGACTAGTCGGTTTGGGTTACTTACACGGAACTGCGCCTATATATTAGTTATAACCAGTTCTAATAAATCAAAATCAAATCAAATCATTTTATTTTCCCAGAAAGAAACAGGTTCTGGAGAGGTTCACTGGCTAAAAGCTGTTTATGGCCAGCTTGACGAGGCCAGTTAACCCTATACAAGGCAGGTGGGACAATGACAAAGATGTGTATAACAATAAAGACCATAAGCTAACATTACAGTACCAAAATACGGTGTAATAAAAACATATATATATACATTCCTACGAAAACATCCTGATACCAGCATAGCACAGAAGATTACATGGACGCAACCATAATCCAGCAATAATAACACCATTATTGCCAAAAAATAAAATAATAAAAATAAATAAATGATGAAAATGTCAGGGAAGATATATACAAATTTGCTCCTTGTGTATGTGCTGCATCATGCAATGTACATCACATGTCGGACAAACAAATTTATACAGACAGAATTATATCATATAACCTATACAGAACAGCATGGATGCACACACTGAAAGAAAAATGAAATTGTACTATCGTACAGACAGCACATTTTACAACGTGAAAAAGTTAGCCTATATTTACAAAAAAGGATCGTAGTTCTTTTAATGAGAAACTATTTACGTGACTGTATTTATTGAGAATCATTGGTAAACTGTATTGCAATGTTTGAGATTTGTAATTATTGCGAAACCTTGGAACAATCCAAACATCACTGCTTCTTGTTCCTAACAAAACAATTTCTGCAGTTAGACATGCGGTATTTTTAATGAATTGTTTAAACGAAATGGAAGAGAAATAGCAGGATCGCAGAATGCGAGAGATATACATATATTCCACTTTAGTAATACCGTAGTCCCGAGACACAAGTTGTGTTGATGACGAATAATCTAAATTAGTGACGTGTCTAATAATTTTTTTCTGCATGGTCTGAAGTTTCATTATGTTAGTTTTTGTCGTGGTTGCCCACACCAAACTGCAGTAATTTATGTGCGAAAGAAAAAGAGCATGGTATATTTGCACTTTGACCTTTGCGGGTAAGATATATCTACAACGAGATATCACACCAACTACACTAGAGGCTTTTTTGCAGATGTCAACGACGTGTTGGTTCCAGCTGAGGTTTGATGAAAACGTGACGCCAAGAATTTTATGTTCATCCACAAAACGAATGTCTTCATCTGCGTAAGCTAACGCTTGTGTTGATGAAAATATTTTGTTTTTAGCTCGGAATACGATGGCTTTTGTTTTCAGTGGAATAATTTTCAATAAATTTTTGCTAGACCACAAGAAAAGCTTGTTCAATAGCTTATTACACTATGAACACTATAACTTATGAGATCCTTCCATTCTTACCAATCGAGAGAGAAATGCACTTCAGGCACTACACCTCGCATAGTTCAGGTCACCTTCTGATGAAGTCTCTAGAATAAGAATGAAGTTCCGTGTGCGTATTCTATCCCACATGGTTCTCAAGAGCGTGGTTTTGAAATGCGGTAAAGAGTGAAGAAACACATTTGCAGCAGGACACTGTGAGCGAGAGATGTGAAGGGGTTGTGACAAATGGCTTCGCAAGAGTCACCGGGTGAACTCATCATAAGGCAACTGCTCCACCGAAAAGTCAAGTTACATTCTCACTGCTATGCCTTTCCTCGCTGTTTCAGTATCGTTTCGTCCCCTGTGTGATCTTATATTAGGTCAGCAAAAACATTTTGAGCTCAATCAGACTCACGCACTATATCTGCCCCTTATGATTCACTCGAACTCACACTCACCAATGTTTTCCTCAATCGGATTCACTCACACCGAGACTCACTAAAGCTTTCCTCAATTGAACTCACTTGAACTCAGACTCGCCAAAATATTTTTCACTTGAACTCACTCAGACTCACGACTTCATCTGTGTCTGAGAGATGTCTGTATATCTTAGAGTTTGTACCTTGTTTTTGGAAATAATAAAACTTGAAACTTCAAACTTGAAGCTTGATTCTGAGTGAGGCGACTCATGAGTGTGTTTTGTCCAAGATGTCAATGCTTTTTAACACCAATATTTCGCATAATCGGTGCTATACCAGGCACTTTTGATCTCGTATGTTTAAATACGAGCTATCAGACGTTGAAATCTCTCTAAAACATTTTTATAGAAAGTGAAGACTCTCATGAGATCTTCTTTAGCAGACCTTCGTTTGAAAGAAAAGGGGGGGGGGGAGTGCGAAGAAACCTCTCTCATCTGTAACTCACGCATCTGTTCAATTAAAATTTACTGGCATATGGACGCTACTGTATTGATGTGTCGATCGAGATAATTAATATAAACATAAGCCGACATACGGTTCATAACATCACCGAAGTTGAGTAGATAGGACGAGAGGTTAGTGAAACAATGTGCAGCTCACTCGTGCTGAAACTCTTCAAAACATTACTTGCCTGAATTCACTGAGACTCAGACTCACGGCTCAATTTGAGTCTGGGTGAATAAGAGAGAGTCCACTCATGAATGAGGTAATCATGAATGAGTTTATGCTGTCATATCTTTGCTAGAACACAATACGGGGCAAAAAATATGTTCTGATCAATTGAGTTATTGCTGCTCTTGTTGACAGGGCTTAATTCTGCTCTTCCTTTTTGTTTGTTTTAGGTATCCCAGATCTACAACAGGGGGGCGCAAAGAAGAGGCAACAAGGTCCGGGAGAGCTCCTTCCACATCGTTGCCGCACCCCAGTACAAACGATCTTGAAAGTAATTACATCTCAAAGGCACCCAAGCACTCAGACGCATACAACACAGCCATCTTACTCGCAGTGACAGTTTTTTATGCCTTACATTAAGAGAAATCTGCTATCTGACATTTCGCCATGCAGGAGGCATTTTTACTCCTGTAATGTGAAAGTACCTCGAATTTGGGCACGCCAGCATGGGAATTTCAGTTCCCTCCAGTCCCGACTTTTTGCATTTCACTGACGTAAAAGTGCTTCAGAAATCTTGCCTCAGTTAATTAATGCTAGTACATTAACACGGAGGCGTCAGTGAACTCGTGGCATTTCAGTTTGTCGATTGAAACAGCCTGCACTTTCCGATTGCCAATTACTTCCCTTGCAGTCATGTGGTTCTTTCGCGGAGATGATACCGAATCCCACAGTCAGTGTTCACCAGAGTGGTAAAATCTGCTTTTACGGTACGCTTGTAGTGTTAGGTCTCACCTTTCCACCACCATGTTCATTTACACGCGACGCTAGCTTACTTTCCGATCCCAAGAGAAGTATCAGGAGAATATGTTGTAGCCACTTCATGCTCAACTTACAGCTAGGGCGTTTAGTAGGTATCTGAAACCTATACCTCAACATATAGACATAAAGAAGTATAGAAATAATGGTTGATGAACTATAGGTGTGACATTATGTGAAGTACAGCGCAAAAAGAACAGATAAGTGGTCCGATGTTTGTTCGAATCGTAAAAGCGGGAGCCGCAGATATATGTGACAATACGATAACGATACCTTCTCAACCATCCTGGTAGCCCGTAATACGAGATATTACAGATATTCATACATAGTGGGTACAAAGGAAAGTCATGATGTTATGGGAGAATGAACATTGCCATTCAGTAGCATGATAAGCTTCGGATTTGCATCCTGACTCAGAGTCTGTTTTGTGGAAAAAGTTTGATGGAACTGCGCTTTGATTTCTGTTTGCGAGTTAACTAACTCATATTTTCTGTTGCAACAAATACGCTTCACTTATATTGCTAACAATTTCCTCCTATCTAATTTTTTCAATTTTTACTTTTTACACCTTTTCAGGGTGAAAGCGTAACACAATTATAAAGGCATTATCGACGACATGCAGTGACGTTTACTGTCAGGTGTGAAACCAGGTTTACGCGAGAAAGCTTAAAATTTTAAATGCTCACGTTATTTCGCTACATGCCCAATTTTTACAGCGGTTCTTTCTACATAGTCTATAATATTGAAAGCTTTCGTCCACCTCCATATGATTCGGTTACTGTTCGCAGCACTAAGAAGTACTAACGCCTACATTTTTAGTGTTCCTTCGCATGAACCAAAACGGGCTAGTCTTTCTGTAAATCATTGTGTACTATAGTCGAAGCATCACACCAAGAAATAGCTTGAGCGTTAGGGGAACGTTTTGACGTTTGAAAATTTCAGAAACACCGAGAATGACGTGAGCTGAATTTGACTAGAGCAGAGTTGATTGGTGGTCTGTTTAGATCGACACTGCAGCTGCATGCAACTTTCTAGTCCTTTTCACATTTTTATAATAAAGCAGCAAGAATATCACACGTGCTTCCAATTCATCTTGTAATAAAGAAATCATCCTATGACCATCTAAAATAGGCTCTATTTTATCATCGTCGTAACGCACCTTCTAGATGAAAATGCCAATAGTGATACCAACTGTTCCCGCCAGAAAAGTTTAGGCAAAAAAAGGAAGGTAAGTAAACACCTTGTTGGTTCATTATTTCTGACACAATTTTACAATGACCGGCTGTGGTATAAACCCCGTTTAAACAACAGAGAAATAGCATAAAACAAATCTCATCAATATCAAGTCAAGACTTTGCTGGGGAAAAAAAGTAGGACACTCATGAAGGTACCATCACGTGATCATAACGCCGAGTATAGGGAATGAAACGGCCGTAATAAGCGCCACAGAGCAGCGCTTATATTATCGCACCGAGTAACGTTGTGCGCACCTGATTTCCAGCAGCAGAACAGCACGTGCACTTTCGCTTTAAAAGCCTCCACAAGACTGCCCTCTGTTCCAGTAAACATCGCTCCACCGCGCACACCAGCCATTCTTCGTCAGTTTTGTTTTTCCCTGTGCTGTCAAAATTGTTGATTACTGATACTGTTTCTGGATATTTGCGCAATTTTCAAGAGGTATACGTTGTCAAGAAAATTACCCCCCTGCATGCACCGTTATCAACAGTTAGCCTTAGCGAAGAGAATGGCGATTTCGCCGAGGACTGTGTTTTGATGTCTCTATCCGTCTAGTTGCTGGACGCGTCTCTCATAATCATATAGTGGTTTTGGGACGTTAAACCCCACATATCAATCAATCTAGTTGCTGGACAAATCTGCATAAACAAACAATGGCTGCGAGCTGATATTGACTCTTTAGAAAGCCAGAAAAAAGAGATAAAAGTCTGGCATTTCGATTGACAGTTTTTTTTATCTGCTCAAGACAAAAATTCGGAAGCTTCCGTAAAAAACGTTGAACAAGTTTCAAACCATTGTGGCACTACTGCGTCCTTCCGAAACGGTAGTAAAACAACTTTTCTGGGGCTTACATAAACTTACGATGAGATAGCAGCCACTTAGCGTTGCACTAATTGTGGCAGCTGTTGTGGGATAGATATTTCCAACAGAAGAAAAAAAATAGACATATATGTGTCCCGTTGATACACATTGGGTTAATAGTTACCACATATTCTCCCTCTTTTAGTACAAAAACAAGCATGACAAACTCAGACGCTTCTTTAAAGGCTTCAATTTACGTGAATTAGTTGTGCATATACGGGAAAACTCACATGATTGCGACCCATAGAAGCATTAGCTGCAGGATAAGAGCGCCATAAACGACAAAAAATAGCATGCGCAGTTTTACACAGTACAAATTTTCAATAATATTTTTTTGCAGGATAAATTTCTTGATCCCTCCAAAGAATCAGTTCTTTTACCGGTCGCGGTAAACAGGTCCTTTTACCACCACGTGGCCAGGTACCCATGGCCTCCGAGATTAGCTTCCGCTACGCGTTGAAGGAGCTAGCCGCGAAGGCCGCGAGCCACTACATTTGTAATTCTACAACTCGTCGGCAAGCGACGCTAGGCCCTCAGTTAACAACGTTCATGTGGTTTATGGTGCCACGCATGAGCATCGGATTATACATATACGTCTAGCGAATGCCACTGTTCCGCTCTGTCCAAACGAATGCGTATCTACACGCATTAAGTTAGACAAGATTATATTAAAAAGTGTGAAATGTCTCGACACTAATATAGAGACAATAGCGTACACCAGTAAAAGATCACGTGATAAACTTAAAGTGTACATTCGCTACTTCATTTGCCATGAAGGACTTCAAAAGCGACTTACGTTTTTTTTTTTAACATGAATGTGTTTTAAGTCGTGGACCAGCGAGGTTCTCCTTATGTATTCATGTCCCGGCTATGACATTTTCAAATGTACATGAAAGATGAAGAAACTACAATCAAAGTTTCGTTGTCGGACCTAGTGCTTCTGGCTTCGCAGCGCGTGGGGCCAAGCGACTCAGCCACAAAGCGTGCGTTCTTCGCGTGTAATAACAGCGAGCTATTTTTTTAAAATAATTTTGAAAATTTTTAGTTCTTTCTATACACTGTCGATTCCAGAGGGATGAACGCGGATAACAGGTGGACAACGTGAGACAGCGATTTAGTGGGAAAAAAATGACCCTACAAGCACATGTTTTGCACTATACATACACATGGACACTTTACTTTCATAAGGACAAATAAAAAAAGAAAAGATGTAATGACGTGTTAAATTGGTGAGGCTATCACATCACTTGCTGGAAGGTAGTGAGAGTGACAGCCTACTTCATTCTGTGATTATAAGCGGGAAAAACGAAAATGTGAAAGAATCCGTGTAAAATATGTAAGAGATAATGATACAGGAGTGTTTATGGCGGCTATAGTTCTGGCTGCGCATAGGTTTATGAAGCGGGACTTGTTTATGTATAGGTGAACGTAAAATGATTTATAAGCTAGCTGAAAGCATGCCGTTTTCACTCGGTTTTTTAATGGCAAGTAATGCAGCCTTTCTTAAGCAATTGCGCTGGTGAATCTGGTCGGTTAAATTTGCTGAAATTCCGCTACGTATAGAGATCCATTTTGCTACTTGACATTTCTTTTTAAGTTCGCACACAATTTATATGCCCCATTATGTACACATCATTGACCACTGGCGGTGTGCAGAGCTCGAAGGCACTTGTTCTCGTTATCACCAGTTACATACATTCTTTAAATGTCCTTGATTCTTACGCTGTGATGCATGCTTACCCCTACCGCTTTGATCACTCGCAAGTGGGCGCTTATCTCGTGGTGGGGTTAATAAGCAGATATTGGGCTTTCATCGGAAGTTTGCGTTCAAATTACAGAGTGCACAAAGTTCACTACGTTAGTAACAGCTGCTGCGTTCACTAAATGAGTGAGTTGTTCGCACACAAAAAATAACAACTGTGAAAGTTGTTAGTTCGCGCTTGTCCTATGTCGTACACTTGTGCGTTCATTTCGTGCGCGCTTATTTGTATTTGAGCAGCGTGCTTTAAGCGTCGAGATGTGACACCTCTTGCTTCACGCTCGTGTTTTGTATCTATTTTCCTGCGTCCTCTCTGATTGAAGAGCGCGCTGTATGTTTCGAGCTGTTTGCCGTTCGTAGTGTGACATTGCAATTGTTGCTATCGCATTTATTGCTTCATCCTTTGCCGTGAAACCATATACTAACTTTGCGAAGATACCCCACACTTTCGTGGTGTACCGATTCCTATGGCAGAGAGATCGGCCATGCATTTTCTACAGTAAGATTGACTTCAAGGAAGTAGTAAGGTATTATGAACCTACGTCAAGTTTTCTTTGTTGAGCCTAGTTGCACATGAGTCACTGCCACATTGCAAATTAAATACTCATATAATATATTTGTACAGTGATGAAATAAAAATATTCATCTGCGTTTAATGGGCAAAAAAAAAATTGGCAGCTCTCTTCTACCTTGAGAATTGATGTTATGCGAAGTATGCGGACGAGAGGTGATTAGGTTGTATTTT